AATTAGTAAAATATCAAAACTACTCTGAGTAGATATTTTTCTGGAAGAAATGACACCAAATAGCCACTCTAAAAGGCAGTTATTTAGAAATTAGTCGGTGCATTATGATTTTCAGTTTTCCAGTTCAAATTTTCGGGACAAAAATGTCTAGGATTGTCCGGAAGTTAAGATTTTTAGTTTAAAACTTCAGGATAAAATAAATATTGGCTAATTTCTAAATAGCATCGCACTGCCCTGTTTTATGAATCATGTTTGAGTCAACTTACCAGACAAATCAAGGACCACATATCTTAGCTCTGACTGCTTTTTTGTTTCTCCCGACTCATACTCTTCCATCCACCTTGAAATCCTATTGCAATTAAAAATAACAGATAATATTAAATCATACAAAATAAGTATGGAAAAACAAAAGGAAGCAAAATAGGACTTTTTGTACCTTTCTTTGAGATAAGTTGTATTGGCAAAGTTAATTGGAGCTTCAATGCTTAAAATGAGGAAACCAGGTACACTCAAAGCTTCCTTATAATGATCTAAATTCCTATAAATTCTTGTACCAGGTATATTTCCTAACAACACTGTTTTTGGCCTTGTAATTTGCAGCAACACCTTAAATATTGATATTCCAACCTGAAATTCAATATTATAGAAAGGCAAAAAAGGTCAAAAACCATAGGAATACTATAAAAGAAAAAGAAAAAAGGAAAATATATAGTGGAATAGTGAGCTTACTGCAATGGCAAGACCATTCTGGACAGAAATGAAAATGACTCCAAAGAATGCACATAACAAGACAATGAAATCGAACTTATCGATCTTCCAGATTTGATAAGCGGCTGAGATGTCGATTAGGCCAATAACAGCAGTAACGATGATCGCCCCTAGTATAACATTTGGTGTGTATTTGAAGAGTGGCATGAGAAACAGGAGTGTTACCATTATTGTCACTGCCATTACTATGTTTGAAACTGCTGTTTTGCTTCCTGCATTATGATTCACTGCTGATCGCGAAAACGCTCCTGAAAATTTTATATACATTTGCATTCAAGTTCTTATATATATATATA